GGCCTTGAGCGCAGGTGCAATCCAGTAAAGTCTGTTGACTCCGCCATCTCGGTCAAAGTGTGCTGCCGCTCGGGATTGCCTCGCATCCATCTTCGAGGTGGTCAGCCGCGCCCTAACATTTACTTGACTAAGACCGCGGATCCATACCCGCTGCCGTTGGCTAAACTGCTTGTGCAATGGATAGTTCGGTCTCAAGATGCGTCTGGGCTCCAGCACCTTCGAGAGCTAGTGGCGTGACGGCCCTGTTCACAATATGGGTACGGGCCAGAAGATCGATAGAGATCCCGGGAGCTTCCTCACGCCGTTCGACAGATGAAAATGAGCGCGCCTCTCGCCATGTCATCCCTCTCTGGTCTAGCGTTAGGATTGGATGTTCTCAGAACGGTTTTCCTTGCCAAAGCGTTTGAGCCGCAGAGGTTGGAACACCTCAGACATGGCAATGCCGCCAACGTGCTCCGGGGAAGCGTTTCCGGAGCACGTTGGGCGATAGCTCGTCCATGGCCGACTTGGCTCCACCATCCCCCCCCTCCTCCTTCTCTTCGAACTTTTCACATTTTCACACTGTCTCTAGGGGCCAGAAGATCGATGGAGATCCCGGGAGCTTCCTCACGCCGTTCGACAGATGAAAATGAGCGCGCCTCTCGCCATGTCATCCTTCTCTGGTCTAGCGTTAGGATGCACATGCTGGAAAGAGCCCTTGCTTCGATGCCGGACGCTAGGGGGCAAGGCTTGGATCACCTGGAGCCCCGCTTTGTCAAGGAAGCCAGCCTGGAAGTTGAGCAACATTTGATTGACATGTTGCATAGCATTGAGGAGCAGCGCGCAATCCTTTTCCAGCAGTTGTTCGCCCTCGTTGCTTTGATTCGTAAGCCTGACGGGGGTAAGAGACCGATCGCTCTCCTCGGCTTCGTCTACTCCCTCCACCTCCGCATTAGGGAACCCCTTCTCACGCAATGGGACCGTGGAGCCCATGGGCCTTGGGCGCCACAGTGGGAGGTCCCGCGGATTGTGCAGGCTGGGTAGACGAGCTTGAAACTGAGCTCGCCCTCCATGCAGGCTTTCAGGTAGGCGGCCTTTTGTTGGATATGAAGAAATATTGCGATCAGGCTTGCTTAGAAGATTTGGTCGAGGCAGCGGCTGCTCTCGACTATCCTCTCCGCCTCCTTGCCCTAGCTATCGACATGTATTCAGGCGTCCGTCGCGTTTCATTGGATGGCGCGGTGCACCCCGGAATCTTAGCTCATGAAGGCATGCTCGCTGGTTGCGGCCAGGCTACTTCTCTTGCGCGTGCGCACCTCCGTGAGCCCCTCGGGTGTGCTTGCAGCTCTGTCTCAGGCCTCCGCCTTCGCGAGTGGGTGGGCGATGTTTCTGCCAGGCTCTTCGGCGCGCATTGCAGCATTTCGGCAACGTTTCCCACCTTGCTTCGAGCCCTCCTGGTCAGCCTGAAACGTCGCCGTTGTCAGCTGGCCGTTGATAAGTCTCATCTGTTGGCGTCGTCGCCAGAGCTTCGCTCAGAGCTTTCCGCTGCTGCCGTCGCCGATGGGCGTGAATTCGCGGTTTCCTTAGCAGCCAGGGACCTGGGGCATGACGCGGCCCTCGGAGCGCGCCGCGCGGTAGCAGTTCGCAAGGGGGGGATTTCGAAGGGCAGGCGCGCTAGCTATGGGATTTTCCAGTTTTCCAGAACAAATCGTAGCGCTTCCAAGCTGTTTACCTGAATGCTTTTGCTAAGGCCATGCGGGCCCCTGAGCTCCAGGGAGTTCCCCCCTCAATGTTGCGAGGGCTCAGAAGCATGGCCCGGGCTGCTAGCAAGAGCCCTCAGAAGGGTGTTTGTGCTACATCTGCTATTCGGCTCACCTCTGGTCTGGGGCAAGACCCAGCGCAGCTGTATTATCGCAAGATTGTTAAGTCCTGGTTCTCACGCATTGCAGGCGACCAGAAGCTTCTTGAGCGTTTGGCTCGATTCTGGGATGCCTCGCTCGAGAAGGTTCGCCGAGGCCGGGCTTGAGCCCGAGGCCCGATGGCTGCCTTTCAGGCCCCCTTGCTCGCCAGTGGGTGGGCTTGCCCCTCTCCCTTTTCCTTGGTCCCTACTTCTGGCGACTCCTGGGAGATGAAAGCGGGCGGTCGAGGACCCTTGGGGCCCCTTTTGGAAGCCTTGGACGAATCGATCGACGTCCTGCAGTGGAACCAGGCAGCAGAACATCTCGGCGGCAAAAGAATCCAGGGCCCGGTTTCGCTTTTCCACTTTTGGGAGCTCCTGGCCTCTCTTGAGAAGGAAGGCCGTCGAGATGCGAGGTCCGTGGTCAGGTTGATGGCTGCAGGCGGCTACTGGACGGATGAAAAGACCCATGCTGAGCAGATGGCCCCTGGCCCCCTCTGCCGCCGTTGCAAGCGCGACCCTGAATCTTCATCTCATCGCTTCTGGTCTTGCATGCGCAACGATATCTGCACAGTTCCAGATATTGCCGGTCCTCAGCACTTGCGCCATGCGGCGCTCCAGGAAGTGTCAGATTTCCAATGCTTTTGGGTCCGGGGGCTCATTCCCTTCTCCTGTTTTCAGTTGCCGCCCCTCCCCGATTCGAGGTTGCTCCGCGGCATTCGCGTGCCTGGGCAACTCGTGCCTGGATCTCTCCCCGGGGGATTGCACGGCGCCGATGGGTCGGGGGGCCCTTTCTCTAGGCTGCCTGTGCTCAGGCGCGTGGCTTCCTCTTTCGTCAGGATGGTCCCAAGGTTTGATTTTGTCAGGGGTTGTGCTGTTACGGAAGTTCTGGACTGTAAGAGGCAGACCGTTCCACGTGCAGAGCTTGCGGCCATCGTTGAGTGTCTGAGGCTGGTCGATACCTCCCAAGATCGGCACGTGGTCAGTGATCATTATTACATTGCGCAGGCTTTCTTTTCAGGCAAGGCCCATTCTTCTAAGCTGGCTAATTACGACCTATGGTGGGAGTTCTGGGAGCTGCTCGACTCTCGAACTGCCTCCTTCCGCCTCTCTCATGTTCCATCTCACTTGCTTGAGGACCCCGTGAAGTTTGCGCGCTGCGGTGATTCAGCTAATTGGGACCGCGTCGTCTTGAATGCCCTCGCAGATTCGCTGGCTGACTCACGAGCGGAACAGTGCCAAGTTCCAGCGGATGTTGATCGCGATCAAAACGATTTAGTTCAGCAGGCTCGTGCAACTCATAAGCGCAATGCGTGTATCATCCTTGAGTGTGCCGCTCTTAAGGTGGAGCCAGACCGGCGTTTGAACAAGCCGCCCATTGACTTGGTGCTAAGGCGCCGCAGGTGGATCGAGTCGGATGTTCGGTCCAGCTCTCACCATTGGTCGCTCTCTGAAGGTGTGTGGTCTTGTACGCTTTGCCAGGGCCAGGTCGAGGACACCGCCCCCTCTCTGCGCGCTCGCATTGCTGCCACCTGCCTCGCCACCTTGGAGGGGGGAGCGGGGCTGCGCGCGCGCGAGCGCGCGCGCGAGGCGGCCGGGGGGGGGGAGGTATTCGAAGAAATGGGCCCGCCCAGGCAGGCAGCTTCCGCCTCGGGGCGAGCCCCATGTGGCGGTCCCTTCGCTTGGAACTTTGTGGCGAATGCGGGTCTTGCGCCAGCAGATCTCCCGGTGCTTTCTTGAGGGGTCCGTGCCCTGCCGTCGCGATCGGACCGCATGCTGTAACCAAGGCGCAGTTGGAAGTTTTGCAGAGGATTTGTAAAGGCCTTCCTCCAGCCAAGACTGTCGCATCTTGGGCTGATGCTTAAACTTTTCTTCCGCAGCGGCCAGTCCCTGACAGGTATCTGCCCTTGGAGCCTGAGTGTTAGCGGCGCACTGTAAACTCCTCCTCCTCCTCCTCCTCCCCCTCCTCCTCCCCCTCCTCCTCCTCCTCCCGCCCCTCCTCCTCCTGCTCATCCGTCTCCTCCTTCTCCTCCTCCTCCTCGCCTTCCTTTTCTTCCTCCCCCTCCTCCTCCTCCTCCTCCTCCTCCTCCTCATTCCTCCTCCCCCCCCTTCTCCTCCACCTCCTCCTCTTGCTCCTCCTCCTCCTCCGCCTCCCCCTCCTCTTGCTGATGCTCCTCCTCCTCCTCCTCCTCCTCCTGCGGCTTCCCCCCCTCGTCCTCCTCCTGCCCCTGCTCCTCCTCATCCTCCCTCCCGGGGCAACGGTCAAAGGAGCCTCGTGCGTACGTGACCTCGGCATCGACATGGCGAGAGGACGCAAGAGGCGCACCACGACGGCTACGGAGAGACGCAAAGCGGGCAGGGCACGAGCACGCCGAGCGCGGGCTTTCAAAGGGGCAGGCAAGCGCAGACGGAAGCCGGCCACGCTCAACTTAGTCAATGTCCGTGCCAAGTCATCGTACGACGTCCCTGCAGTAGGCCAGTCTCCAACAGCGGTGCGACGTGCAAGAGCTGAAGCAGCATACATGCTCGGCTACACGACAGGCGGCAGGAGTACATCCATGGTGATGTTGTTGCACTACTTCGAGAGGGACTCCAAAGCTGTTGGGCTTCGCCGCCAAGTCTCATAATGGATTAAGCTTTGGAAGCGGTGGCCAGACTATCATGAAAAACTACGAGGAGGTTGGCATGCAGCAGTACAGCGACTCCAGCGGGCACGACCAAGAGGACGTTGGAACGTGGTGACAGGGCCGATGGCAGCTCTCATCCAAGGACTATCAGAACTAGGATGGCAGCTAACTGAGCCAGATACGTGGACGGATTCGCAGAAAAAATGCATGGACGATGGCCCAGCAACCACACCTGCACATGATGGACGCAAGCCGTGAGGTGCCACCTTCAGTTGGTAGTCAGGACGTTCAAGGTAGCAGAGTGGAATGGGTTCTTTCACAGATAATCACAGAGGAGGAGGAACCAACGTATACGAAAACTATGTGCCAGGACAATTTCCAGCTACAATGGA